CCACGCTAATTGGAGCCTCCTGGAGTTGGTGACTAAGTGTCCATTTGCCCCCTCCCTCCCGCCAGCCCAGCCCAGCCCTGCCTCTGTGACTCTCACAGCAGCTAATTCCCTTCCTTCTCTGTTTAACAGGTCATTTTCCTCCATGGCCTTGGAGACACGGGGTGAGTGTCCCTGCAGCTGGCTCTGGCTGGGATGTGTGGTGTGCCAGCTGCAGGTCCCAGCCTTTTGCTGCTGCTTTCCCTTGGGGCATCTCCAGGAGCTTTGGGTTGGGGTCTGCAGCCCTTTCTGCACCAGCCTGGCAGGGAATGGCAGGGAATTGCTGCTGACAGCTGTCTGCTCTTGAATATTTATGATCTCAGCAGCCTGGCCCACCCCCCGAGGGTGGATTTTGTGCTGCCTTCAGGGATTGCTGATAAGCACTGCTGATAAGCACTGCAGCTTCCCCAGGCCTTGGCAGGGCTGGGCCTGCACCGGGGCATCGCTGCTCTGCAAGGTCCCATGGTGGTGACAAAGGGCTCCTCCCTGTCCAGGAGATCCCCTCCTCCCTGTCCAGGAGATCCCCTCCTCCCTGTCCGGCCATCCCCTCCTCCCTGTCCTCCCTGCCTGCAGCTCTGTGTGCTCCCCTCAGATGGGATCAGTGCTGGGGGGGCTTCAGGGGGGCTCAGGCTGGTGGGGTGGGTAAATAAGCTCAGGGGAGGGGCTGGGGGGCAGCAGCCTTGGGAGAATGGCTGGGACAAGGCCTGGGCTCATCTCCTGTCCCTCCCCAGGCACAGCTGGGCCGATGCTCTCTCCTCCATCCGCCTCCCCTACGTGAAGTACATCTGCCCTCACGCGTAAGTGCTGCCCTGGGGGGCTTCCTGGGGGGCCCTGAGGTGCCCAGGCTGCTGGGGAGGCCTGGGCCCAGCAGGGCTGCCCAGCCAGGCTGGCTCTGCTGCCATGGCAGAGCTGCTCCCACAGGGTGAGCAGCACCACGGGCTCTTTTCTTTGCCTTCCTGTCTTGTTTATCCCTGATGGCTGCAGGGAGAGCAGGACAAAGGCTCTGGAGCTCCCTGTGCACCCCTGGGCAGGCAGGAGGGGGAGAGGTGCCAGCCTTCCTGCTCCCCTCAGAGCTGAGCTCAGCCACCCAAAATGTTCCTCCACAGGCCCCGGATCCCGGTGACCCTCAACATGAAGATGGTCATGCCCTCCTGGTCAGTGCTTTGGGCTGGGTGGGGAGAGGGAGGGAGGGAGGGATGGGGGGACAAAATCCCCCCTGTGGGGCCAGGGAAGGGCAGAGCACCCCCAGCTCCTGCCTCCCCACCCTCAGGGTGCTGGGAGAGGGTTTGGCTGACCCTGCTGCTTCCCCCAGGTTTGACCTGATGGGATTGACTCCAGATGCACCTGAGGATGAAGCTGGGATCAAGAAAGCTGCAGAAAGCAGTAAGGAGCTCTGTGAGGGGAGGTGGTGAGCTGCTGTGTGCCTCTCCTCACTGTGATGGAGCAGCTGTCTTCCTTCCACCTCTCCCTTGTTTCTGCTCTCCTGTGGTCCCAGCAAACCTTCCCCTGGCATCTCTGGCACCTCCCTGTCCCTGATGTGCCCCCTGAAGCACAGGGTGATGCTTTTGAGCCCTTTCCCCCTGCCCTGAGCCATTTCTCCATCTCCTTCCAGTTAAAGCAATCATTGAGCACGAGATGAAGAACGGGATCCCCCCCAACCGCATCATCCTGGGGGGCTTCTCACAGGTGAGGGACCCCCGTTCCTGCTGTCACAGAGGGCTGGGCGGCTGTGAGCTGGCCCTCAGGGTGTCCCTGCATGCCCCACGGACCCACGCTGACGGCAGGCGTGTCCCCTGCAGGGCGGTGCCCTGTCGCTGTACACGGCTCTCACCTGCCAGCACCAGCTGGCCGGCATCGTGGCGCTCAGCTGCTGGCTCCCTCTGCACAAGGCCTTCCCACAGGTACCCCCGGCCCGGGATGCTCTCTGCAGCCCTCCCCCACGAGGAGGGAGCTGCTGGCTCGTGCTGGGGACACAAAGCACCGTTGGTGTCCCCTGGCTGAGTGTCCCCTCCCCGCGGCAGGCGGCGAACAGCGGCGTGAACAAGGACATTGCCATCCTGCAGTGCCACGGGGAGATGGACCCCATGATCCCCGTGCGCTTCGGGGCCCTCACGGCCGAGAAGCTCAAGTCTGTGGTCACCCCCACCAAGGTGCAGTTCAAAACCTACCCCGGAGTGATGCACAGTTCCTGTCCTCAGGTCAGTGCTGGGCGTGGAGGGAGGGGGTGGCACCCCTGGGTGCTGATCAGCGATGGGCCCGTGGGAATGGCCTGGAGCTGTGTCAGGGGAGGGCTGGGATGGATTCAGGGAAAGGTTCTTCCCCCAGAGGGTGCTGGCAGTGCCCAGGCTGCGAGGGAATGGGCACGGCCCTGAGGCTGCCAGAGCTCCAGGAGTGTTTGGACAGGGGTGCCCAGGGTGGGATTGGTGAGGGGTCTGGGCAGGGCTGGATGATCCTTGTGGGTCCCTTTCCTTTGGCATCTTTTGATCCCGGGCAGGGTGGGGAACACACGAGGTCTATCTGTTCCTGACTTGCTCCGGGAGGCTGCAGAGCCCTTGTGCCCCATCCTGACTCCTGGGGAGGTGCAGAGCCCCGGGCCCGTTCCTGGTGCCTTGCCCTGCCCCAGCCCTGCCCCGGGGCCGTTCCCGGGGCCGTTCCCGGTGCCCAGCCCTGCCCCGGGGCCGTTCCCGGGGCCGTTCCCGGTGCCCGGCCCTGCCCCGGGGCCGTTCCCGGTGCCCTGCCCTGCCCCGGGGCCGTTCCCGGTGCCCTGCCCTGCCCCGGGGCCGTTCCCGGGGCCGTTCCCGGTGCCCAGCCCTGCCCCAGGACTGTTCCCGGGGCCGTTCCCGGTGCCCTGCCCTGCCCCGGGGCCCCGGTGTGACAGCCCCGTGCGCTGCCCGCAGGAGATGCTGGCGGTGAAGGAGTTCATCGAGAAGCTGCTGCCCCGGATCTGAGCCGAGCCCCTGGGGACTGTGGCAGGGCAGGGTGCCGAGGCCAGCGCCTGTCCCTGTGACCCGCCCGCCGCCAACGGAAGCCATGGCCCCCAGCACCCCCCGCCACACCCCCGTGCCCGCCCTCGCCCGTCCCCCGGCTCCCCCGCCTGAGGCGAGCCCGGGAGGGGCCTTTTCTCTCCTGCTCTGGCTCCCAGCGGCTCCCGGGGGAAGGCCACCGTCCCCTCGGGCCCCCGCGGGGCTGGCACGGCGCGGGTGAGGTTTTCCTGCTGGGTTTGGGGTTTTTGTACCAGTATTAGGGGCTGGGGCACGCCGGGGCTCTGCCCTCGGTGCCGCTCCCGCTCTCTGCTCAGGCGACTCGCGGGTTTTCAGTCAGAGCTCAGGAACCCGGGACTCCCCTGCGGGCTCTGCCCTGGGCTGGCAGCGCCGAAGGCTGCCCGGGGCCGCCAGGGAGGGTCAGTGCAGCTCCCGCACGGCCCCGCCTGTCACACACGCACACTCCCCTCAGCCCGGCCTGGGGCAGCCCTGCCCTCCCGAGATAATCACCTCCTTCCTCCTGCTCCTCCTCCTCCTCTTGTTGCTTTCACAATCTCCATCCCAGAGGCGTCTCCCCGCTCCCAGCCCAGCTCTGCACCCTCGGAGCCCCAAAGCTTCGTTTACACTCCGGAGCCACCGGCCCCTCTTCAATGTCTTCTCTTGCTGCTACGTGTCCTTCCCTTGGGCTGCCTCGGGAGGGGGGTCCCTGCAGCCCGGGTTTGGCTCCTGGTGCAGCTGGCAGGAGCAGCTCTGCTCCCAGCCCCGGGGGCTGCTGTGCCCCATCCTCTGTGCCCGGGGCTCTCCCTGCTCCCGGGACTGGGGGCTCCTGCCCCCCCGTGTACAATCACCTGTGGCTTGTCCCCTCCCGACTGCTGGCATCGTGCTGGGGCCCCGAATGTCTCCTCTGGGGGGGCTCCTGGCCGACCCTCCCCTCCCACAGGGCCCAAGGCAGTGGCTGTGGAGCAGCTCTGCCCTCACCCCCTCTCTCTCTCCCTGGGCTGAGCCCCCACCCGGGGCTATCATGGCTTTTCAAACACCCCCACACTGCCCAGGGCTGGCCCTGCTGCCCCTGCCCTGCCCCAGGGAGGGCAGGGCTGCCCTGGGGGGCTCTGGGGGGGCTCAGCCCCAGCAGCTCTGCTCCAGCCCTGCCCTTCCTGCCCGGGCTGTGCAAAGCAATAACCTCCTCTGCAGAGTGCATCGTGGGGCCACCCTGGGCTCGGGGCTTGGCATTTCTGTTCTTGCTCCTTTTGGGAAGTCTGAAGGCAGCAGAGCTGCTGCTGGCACTGGGGCAGCCCAGCCCTGCCCGGGGCTCTGCCCTGCCCGGGGCTCTGCCCTGCTGGCTCTTCCATGCTGTGTTCTAATGCTGCTGTGCCCCCGGCCCCCACGCCCGGCTGGGGGGCATGAGAGGGTGGCAGGGGTGGGATGGCAGCGCCCTGGGGGCACCAGGGGCTGGCAGGGGTGGGATGGCAGCGCCCTGGGCCACCAGGGGCTGGCAGGGGTGGGATGGCAGCGCCCTGGGGGCACCAGGGGCTGCTGATGGACAGACTGACCTGTGTGACTGTGAACTGGAACCGTGTGTGGTGGGGGGCCCGGGCCCATCCCCCTGCAGAGCATTCCTGCTCACTCCCTGCCCAGGCAGTGCCGGGACCCCGGGAGGGAGAACGGCTTCTCTCCATTCCTCAGTACAGCTTTGGGTTTTTTCTTTTTGTTTGGTTTTTTTTTCTTTTTTTCTGCGGTTTTTTTGGTTGTTTTTCTTCTCTCTCGTCTTCCTTGTACACGTTTGGGTTTTTTTGTGTGTGTGTGCGTGCATTCCACAGAGAATCAAGGTGAAATAAATCCTCAACTTATCCTGGAGCTGAGCTGGCGTCATCCCTGGCCAGGAAGAACCACAGATTTGGGGGAGAATGGGGTTCTATCAGGCCCCAGGGTCCCATTTTTAGGGGCAGGAGCTCTGGCTGAGGGGAAGCAGAACAAAGCTGCCACTTAGAAAGTAGGAAAGTTTATTTTAAAAACAAATCAAAAGCTCCATTCATAATTCAGGAGCATAAGTTATTCATCCAGCCAACAGCACACGGGGCTGGCTGCGTCATCCCTGCCCTGGGAGCTGCCAGGAATAAACAGGAGCAGTGTGGGCCAGGGCCAGAGCAGGCACCCAGGGGCTGTGGGCAGCCAGGCCAGGCTGGCACAGCCCTGGGCAGGGGCTTCTCCAGCTCTGCAGGAGACAGGGAGATGAGATTTGGTCCCCAAAACCATGCTGGGGTAGGGAAAAGGGGGGTTGGAGGAAGCCTTGGAATGTGACTGGTCCCTGTGGGAGGTTCCTGGTGCCTTCTCTGTGCCAGGGCAGGGCAGAGGTGCCCTGGGCTCCCCCTGAGCCAGGAGGGAACAGGGCTCTGCTGCAGGCTGGGCTCAGCAGGACTCAGCTGTCCCAGGGCACAGGGCGGGCTCAGGAGCTCCCAGCCAGGACTGGCTCAGCCCCTGGGCATTCCCGGGGGGTTCCATGCCCGTGGTGCCAAACCAGGCCCTGGCTCTGTTCACCCTTGGTTGTGGTTCTGGCTCTGTGAGATGAAAGGACCTGGGGGATGAGGATGAGGAGGGGAGAGGCTGAGGATGCTCCAGCCTTCCTGCCCCGTGCCAGGGGCAGGAGGGGGAGCTGGCAGTGCCCTCCCAGGATGGTGACAGCTCTCGGGGAAGGAGGCAGAGCTGGCTCAGAGCAGCCCTGGCCCGGCCAGCCCTCGCCACAGCTCAGTTCTTGCTGAAGCCCGTGGGGTTCTGCAGCTGCCACCGCCACAGGTCCTCACCTGGAACAGCAGCAGGGAGGTGAGGGAGGGCAGGGGGCTGGCAGTGCCCGCTGCGCCAGGGAGGGGATGCCCTTACACATCTTGTCCAGGCCAAAGGCAGCTTTCCAGCCCAGCTCCTGCTCGGCCAGCGTGGGGTCAGCGTAGCAGGAGGCCACGTCCCCCTCCCGCCGCGCCGTCACCCGGTACTTGATCTGCAGGGAGAGAGCACCGAGGGCTGGGGGCTCGGGGGGCTCGGGGGGCTGAGGGAGCGGGGCCAGGGCTGCTGGGGGCACAGGGCCCTGGGGGGCAGCTCTGCCCCTGTGCCTGTGAGCCCACAGCTCTGCCCTTACCTCCCTCCCCGAGGCTTTCTCCATGGCCCGGACCATCTGCAGCACGGAGTAGCCGGTGCCTGTGCCCAGGTTGTAGATCTGGGAGGAGGATAAAGGACAGGGATCGAGGGGAGGAAGGCTCTGCTTCAGCCCCCACTGGCACCCCCATGTCCCCCAGGGCTGGCAGCACCCCCAGGTTGGTACCTTGCAGCCACAATTCTCCTTGAGCTTCTTCAGGGCAGCGATGTGGCCCTTGGCCAGGTCCACGACATGGATGTAATCCCTGACTCCTGTGGGGGCGCAGAGGGTGAGGGCAGGCCCGGGGGTCTGGGAGTCCCAAATCCCCCCATCCCAAATCCCCCATCCCAAATCCCCCATCCCAAATCCCCCATCCCAAATCCCCGGCCCTGACGCACCCGTTCCATCGTCCGTCTTGTAGTCGTTCCCAAAGACGCTGAGGAACTCCCGGCGTCCCACTGCCACCTGCACAGAGGGACAGCCCTGTGGAGCCCCGGCACCCCCGTCCCCTCCCTGCGACCCCCGAGGGCTGGGGGGGCTCTACCTGAGCCACGTAGGGCATGAGGTTGTTGGGGATGCCCTGGGGGTCCTCCCCGATCATCCCTGACTCGTGGGCGCCGATGGGGTTGAAGTAGCGCAGCAGGACGGCGTTCCAGTCCTGGGGACACGGGGACAGGGTCACCCCCTGGGGACAGCCCCTGGGGACACCCCCTGGGGACACAGCTCCTCACCCTCTCTGCTCTGCAGAGATCCCGGATCATCTCCTCGATGAAGAACTTGGATTTGCCGTAGGGGTTGGTGCAGCCGCCCACCGGGTGCTTCTCGTCCAGGGGGAGGTACCTGGGCTCCCCGTAGACGGTGGCGGAGCTGCTGAACACGATGTTCCTCACGCCGTGGGCCTTCATGGTCTGTGAGGGGCAAGGGGCAGCTGTGCCAGCCCTGCTGCAGCTCTGCCCCGTGCCAGCCCTGCCCCGTGCCAGCCCTGCCCCGTGCCAGCCCTGCCCCGTGCCAGCCCTGCTGCAGCCCTGCCCCGTGCCAGCCCTGCCCGGGCACGGGGAGGGCAGCGGGAGCAGCCCGGGGTCGCTGGCAGCCCCCCTCACCTCCAGCAGCCCGATGGTCCCGGTGAGGTTCACTCTGTAATAGTCCAGAGGCTTCTGCACCGACTCCCCCACGGCCTTGAGCCCGGCGAAGTGCATCACGGCCGAGAACCGGTGCTGCGGGGCACGGGCTGGGCTCAGCCGCGGCGGCGGGCACCAGCAGCACCCCCGGAGCTCCCTGGCCCACCGGAGCGGGCACTGCGTGTCCTCCCCGCCCCGCCGGAGCCCCCCGGGCACCGCCGCTGCCGCTCGCACCTTCCCGAAGAGCCGTGCCAGCGCCGCCCGGTCCGTGATGTCGAGCTCCTGGAAGGTGACGGGGCGCTGCGCGATCTGCTGCACCCGGCGGAGGCTCTCGGGGAGCTCCTGGGAGCCTGCGGGGAGCGAGGGAGGGAACGAGGGGAGTGCGGGGAGCGCGGGGCCCGGGCCGGCCGGGCGGAGCGGGGCCGGCGCTGCCGTACCTCGCACGGCGTTGTGGAAGTTGTCGATGACCACGGGCGCGTAGCCGGCCTGCAGCAGCTCCAGCACGCAGTGGCTGCCGATGTAGCCCGCGCCGCCCGTCACCAGGATGGCCTCGGCCATGTCCCTGCGGGGACAGCGCCGGAGCCGCGGGTTGGGCACGGCACGGCTCGGCTCGGCACGGCCCGGCTCGGCCCGGTTGGGCACGGCCCGGCTCGGCTCGGTTCGGGTGGGCACGGCCCGGGGTTCCGTTCCCCGCTCGCTCTCACCCGCCGCCGCCGCCGCCGCTCCCGCGCAGCCCCGTGAGGGGCGCGGCCCCTTTAAGGCCGGGCCTTGGCCCCGCCCCCCGGCGCCACGCGCGCCGCTCCTCCATGGAAACGTGTCAGGGCTACGGGGCGGCAGCGGGGACAAAACTCCTCGTGGGACGGCGGCCGCTGGTGGGCGGGGCCACCGCGGGGAGCCCGGTGCCGGGCCCTGCCCCAGGACGGGCGGGGCAGCGCCGGTCCCACCTCCCGGACGCGGCGGTGCCACATCCCGGAGCCCGGGCGCTTCCTGCTGAGCCCAGCCCCGGGCTCACCCGCGCCCTCGGGGCAGCGGCGCTCACTGTAATTAGCTAATTAACGCGTCCATTCATTCATTAACCGGGCGATCTCCGCAGGCACCGGCTCTGCCCTCGGCCGCTCCCGCCCGGCGCAGGGAGGGCTCGGGGCGGCACCGGGACCCGGGCTGTCCCCCTGCCCGTTCCCCCCGATTTCCCCCTGCCCGTTACCCCGGTCCCCCCGGTTCGGTTCCCCAGTTCCGTTCCCCCCGGTTCCGTTCCCCCGTTCGGTTCCCCGGTTCCGTTCCCCGCTCGCTCTCACCCGCCGCCGCCGCCGCCGCTCCCGCGCAGCCCCGTGAGGGGCGCGGCCCCTTTAAGGCCGGGCCTTGGCCCCGCCCCCCGGCGCCACGCGCGCCGCTCCTCCATGGAAACGTGTCAGGGCTACGGGGCGGCAGCGGGGACAAAACTCCTCGTGGGACGGCGGCCGCTGGTGGGCGGGGCCACCGCGGGGAGCCCGGTGCCGCAGCGCCCCCTGGCGGCCGGAGGAGGCAGTTGCCCCAAAACACCAATTTATTGCCCCAAAACCCCAATTTACTACCCCAAAACCCCGAATCACTGCCCCAAACCACCAATTTACTGCCCCATTCCACCTCATTTCCGTGCGGTTCATTAGCGAAGGTTTGGTAATTAATTCAGTTTATTGAAGGCACGTGGAGAGGAGGCACCCGCAGCCTCGTGTGCTCCTCTCCAGTCTCACAATTAACTGCTCAATAAATGACTTTAAAATGAAGAGCAGGGGGTGCTTCCCAAGGACCCCAGGAGTTTCACTCTCTGCTCTCAGGGTGGCAGCAATTCCTCACCCTCAGCCCATGAAAATGCAGAATTTCCTGCCGGAGGAGGCACTTGGAGCCAAACCAGCACCAAAAGCTCCTTTGCTGGTTCGACTGAATCCATTTTTTCACAGTTTGATTATTAAATAATGTGTTTATTACTCCTGCTGGGCTGGGGTATCTTACAACAGATACCCAGAGCAGCAGCACAGCCCCGAGGGAGCCCAGGGAGGTTTGGGCTCAGCCTGTGGCTGTTTTTCTTGTGGAGGGAGGGGAGGGAGGAGGGACAGCCCGAGCTGCTGAGGCTGAGCTGGTCCTGGCCCTGCAGGCAGGAGCTGCTGCTCTGCTCTGAGCTCTCCTCTGCCCCTCCAAGGCACAGGGGGCAGCCCCGAGGTCCAACATTACAAAGTATCACAGGAGATTCCCTCACTTCTTCCTAATTCTGGAGGATTTTGAGCTTCCTCTCAAGTTCTGAGCTCAGAAGTCAGGCAGGAATCCCAGCCAGGGCTGGACCTTGTTGCTCCAGGGAGAAATCCCACTCAGTGTCACAGCCTGCAGGAGGCCTGAGACACCTTGGAGTTGGTTTTTCTGTTCAGGGCGTTGCAGATGTAGGTGCCAGTGTCCATCAGCTTCTGCAGATCCACCCCCTGCAGGGCAAAGGGCCAGGACATGCCTTGAGGAACATCCCCCACCCTCCCGGGTCCCCACGCCCACCCCTGGGCACTCAGGGGCAGCCACAGCTGCTCTGGGCACCGTGCCAGGGCCTGCTCGCCCTCCCAGGGCTGTTTTCCCAGATATCCCATCCCCTCTGCCACAGCCACTCCCAGCCGAGGCCTGGGCACAGCCCTGGGGTGCCACTCACCGTGTGGATGCCCAGCCCGTGCAGCATGTACACCAAGTCCTCGGTGGCCACGTTGCCAGAGGCTCCCTGGGCATAGGGGCACCCCCCCAGGCCGGCCACGGAGGCGTCCACCACGCTCACCCCCATCTGCAAACACAGTCAGGGGTGACAAAACCAGGCAAAGCTGCTCCACGTGGCTGCCCCGTCCCTGGCAGCAGCAGGGGACAGTGGCAGCAGGCCCGGGGGTGGGACAGGGTGGCTCTCAGGGGTGTGAGGGTGCAGAGCAGGAACCCACCTGCAGGGCCACCAGGATGTTGGCCAGGGCCTGGCCGTAGGTGTCGTGGCAGTGCACAGCCAGAGCCCCCACGGGCACCTCCTTCATGACCAGTGCCAGCATGTCCCTCATGCTGCCCGGGGTGCCCACGCCGATGGTGTCCCCCAGGGAGATCTCGTAGCACCCCATGGAGTACATCTTCTTGGAGACCTGGCACAGCCAGCACGGCCCCTGAGAGGGCATCCTCCCCTCCCAGGGCTGATCCCTGCTGTACAACAATCCCCTGCACACTCCTCCCCTCCCAGGGCTCATTCCTGCTGTACAACAATCCCCTCTCAGGGTACTGTTGACTCCCTGGACACTCCTCTCTGGAATTAAAACCCTGCAGTGTCCAAACCTCCCTCAGCTCCCCATCCCAGCTGGATCCAGCCTCTGAGAGCCTGGCTATTCCCTCACACATCCCCCTTGTAGCCTGGATAACCCCCAGAGCCCACTTCACATCCCCCAGAATAAATCAGCAATTCTGGCTGCATTTCTGGCTGACTCACCTCTGCAACTTTGGCTGCAGAAATCTTCCCTTCATAGGGACATCCAAGGACACAGGAAACATACCTGGGTTAAAAAAAACCCCAAACTTTTAGCTGGAAAAGGGCAGGGGGATCCCACTAGACAAACCAGTCAGGACTTGTGCATCTCCCATGTCTGCAAGATGGGAGAATCAATTTTGTATTCCAGTGGCCAAAGGCTACAGGATTTCACCAATCTCTTCCTGCAGGGGTGTAAAGTTTGCCAGGATGAGCCCAGAGGGCTGCTGGGGGTGTGATCTGTGCACTTCCATGTGGGATGTTTGCCAAGAAAGTCTGACCCCAGCTGCCTCTGGGTGATTCCAGAGTGAACGTGGGTGATGGCAGCAGGAAGCCCTTACCCCCTGACAGGAATGCTGGCTTCCCTCGCTGCCCTCATCACCTCCTCAAACCTCTCCAGGCTCTCCTCGATGGAGCAGTTGATGTTTTTCTGGGTGAACAGCTCAGATGCTGCCCCAAAGATCGACACCTCTTTGGCCCCTGCTGCCACCTGCAAATAAAAAATCCTAAACTGGAACCACAGCACCTCTGAGGCTGGAAAAGACCCCTGAGTTACCCCAGCACTTCTTAAATCAAAGCCAGGGGATTTTTTCTTGTGAGGGAAATGACAAACAGAGCCACAACTTCAAGAGTTAATTCAAGGGTTTCAGTGGCATCTCTCGGTAGGGATGTCTCAAACCAGCCCCACAAACTCCTCCCTTCACAGAGGCTCTTCTGTTCCCAAAGAGAAGAGTTTTTTGTTTATTTAGACTGGGAGATCCTGGAGCTCTTCTGCCCCTCCAAGTCTCTGTGATCTACAACCTCTGACCAAGCTCCCTCACTTCACAGAACCACCGTCCCCCAGACAACCCAGCCCTTCCCTCAGCTCACTGCAGCAGAGCCAGGACAGAGCTGGGCCTGCCTTCAAAAGGGGGAAGGCAGAGGAGCAGGGGGGAGTGCCCGGGGTGGGGGTGGGTGCTGGGTCCCCAGCCCTTACCGCTGCCTGGAAGCCCCTCAGGTTTGGAGTCAGCACGGGGTAACTGATGCCAGGGCATTTGTTGATGCCCTGCAGGACCTCGGTGTGATCAGCCATCTGCAAAGCAAGGCAGGAACAGCCCTGAGGGTCACAGCTGCCACTGCTGCCTGCCAGGAAAGCACCACTCCAACTCCTTTTTGGAAAGGGAACAGCAATGTGTGGGGAGCAGAGCCTCCACAGCAAACAGAGCTGAGGGCTCAGGGGTCACAGGCCAACGTGCACAACCAGCCTCGTGTGTGACCTCTGCTCTTGCCAGGGTCCAAAGGGAAGCTCTGGGATGGTTTGAGTGCTCTGCTGCTCCTTGCCCAGTAACAGGGACTGGGGAGCCAGCAGGACCACTGGGTTATTGTACTTCTAGAGCTGCAGATCCTGTCTAACACTGACCTGAGGAACCCACTTGGGGGACACGAAGCTGGTGGCCTCTATGACCTGCAGCCCTGTCTCTGACAGCATGTTGATTAAATTGATCTTCACCGAGGTGGGCACAAGATTCTAAGAAGAAGAAGAAAAGAAAAATTACTTAAAATTATTATTATTTACACAATAAACTCTTCCACCACTGGAAGAAAAAAAAAAGAAAAAAGAAAAAAAGCAGCATTTAAAGGAGAGCCGCCCCACTGGGGGGCACAGGGGGGATCTGAGAAGGGCCCCGGAGGGCAGGGAGCCCGGACCCGCCGCTACCTTCTCGTTCTGGAGCCCGTCGCGGGGTCCCACCTCCACCACCTTCACTCGCTTCGGGTACGCCCCGCCCGCCGCCGCGGAGCTCACCTGGCACGGGAGCAGAGTCAGCCGCGCCCCGGAGCCCGGCCCCGCCCGGTACCGGCACCGGTACCGCACCCTGACCCCGCCCGGCCCCGTCCCGGTGCCCCCCGGTGTCTGTCCCCGTTCTGATCCCCCCGCTCCCTCTGCCCAGTCCCTGTCCCGGTCCCTCTGTCCCGTTCCGCTCCCCCGCTCCCTGTCCCGGTCCCGTCCCGCTGCCCCGCTCCCTGTCCCTGTCCCGGTCCCTCTGTCCCGTTCCGATGCCCCGCTCCCTGTTCCCGCTCCCTGTCCCCGCTCCCTGTCCCTGTCCCGGTCCCGCCCCGCTGCCCCGCTCCCTCACGGGCCGCAGCGCTCCCGCCCAGCGCGGCAGCAGCCGCCGCGCCGCCGCCATGTCCGCCGCGCCCACGTGACCGCACACACCCCCGGCACGTGACTCGGCCGGGAGGGGGCGTGGCTCCGCGGGCCACGTGAGCGCTCCGCACGTGGCGCCGGCAGCGCTGTCCCCGCTCCGTGCCCCTGTCCCCTGTCCGTGTCCCCTGTCCCCTGTGCCGTGTCCCCGTGCCGTACCTGGCCCCAGGCGCCGTCCCGCGGCGCGCAGCCCGTGTCGCAGAGCGGCATCCTTCCCTCCGGCACTGCCCCGCGCCGCGCCCGCCGCGCACTTATAGCGGCGGCGTTGGCGCTGCCGGTGCGCCGATGTCCCGCTGCCCCGCTCCCTCACGGGCCGCAGCGCTCCCGCCCAGCGCGGCAGCAGCCGCCGCGCCGCCGCCATGTCCGCCGCGCCCACGTGACCGCACACACCCCCGGCACGTGACTCGGCCGGGAGGGGGCGTGGCTCCGCGGGCCACGTGAGCGCTCCGCACGTGGCGCCGGCAGCGCTGTCCCCGCTCCGTGCCCGGTGTCCCCTGTCCCGTGTCCCTGTCCCGTGTCCCGTGCCCCTGTCCCGTGTCCGTGTCCCTGTCCCGTGTCCCGTGTCCCCGTCCCGGCCGTGCCGCACCTGGCCCCAGGCGCCGTCCCGCGGCGCGCAGCCCGTGTCGCAGAGCGGCATCCTTCCCTC